CTGTGGTGTTTACCATTTGTTAATTCGAGGCCACGAGCAGCGACAAAATTTGTTGACACTGAACCATTAACATTGCAAAGCTCTGGAATAGCATATCAAGGTTGTCCCCATGACCTTTACTTTCATTCTTTCTATCCTTTGTACGTTATTGCAAAATTGTTCTGTGATTGTACCGATTTGGGCTAGTCTCTCTCTAGTGTCTTTCTAGTCTCTTTTTGGTTATCAGCTATTTTATGACAAACACAAACTCATTGGATGATGGTTTAATGCCCATCTCTTTGACAATGGAATTTATGTTGATGAGCTTAAAAGAAGAATATTGAATCGAAGTAAACGTGTGTTTTATTGCTCTTCACAGCAAGAGAGTCTGGACGCCAGCAATTTGTCCACGAAGTTGTTAGAGGTAAATGTAAAGGCCTCGGTAACCGTACTTGTGAACTCTTTTTTTACCCTTTTTCTCCCAGAATCTTATTAGTTCACTGTGTTGTGTTCTTCGGCAAGTCATATTACTCTGACGGTACCCGACCCCACACAGGGGTGTGAACGGTTACAAGCAAACTGTGAGAGAAGCGTGACGAGATGTAAGGGGGAGGGGAGAGTAGCAATCCATCTGGTCGCTTTATACAACAGAAATTGTGTTAAGCTCAAGCTAAATAAGGCAGTTGGCTCGAATGCAGCCCTCACCCTTCGTTTCTCTCCTTTGCAGAGTTTAGACCGCATTTCAAGTCCAAAAGCAAAACAGCGACGACTTCACCAGTTTCCAGACACACCTCCAACCAACCTCAGGTACGAAATGGGTTTTCGAGAATAAGCATAGGTTTTGAATTTCGGTCAAAGCCTCGCAGTTCAGCCGATATTCTTTGACAGAAAGTCTCAAGCCGTCTTCATAAGCCTTTTATGTTCTTTAACCCTTTCGATCTGAGGAGTGACCAAAAATGAAGTTCCCCTCACAATATCGATACACTTCTAAGCGCAACGGTTCTGAGAAGAAAGAAAAACATCAAGAATGGGCTTTGATTTGTTTTAACTCCCAATTCTAAGGGCCAAAGTTATAGGAAATGTATGTCAGACTACGGAGAATTGGTATTTAGATCTGGAGAATGTAAGGGAAGAAAAGGGTCGCACACCCTGCCGGGGTGGGAGGGAGAAGCTTGTTGGTGCTTAGAGCAAAGTTCACTTTCAAAAGTCTTTTTCCCAGCTTTGTTTTGGAATGCTACGCAATGCTACCAAAATAAAACTAACCAACGAAAAAACAAGAAAGATGCAGAGGAGCCACACGTCCAACCCTTTTAGTCGAGAATGATAACCATTATATTTTTATTGACTTTTTTTGTTGTAGACCTTCTACAAGTAAAAGTACCACAATTCCTGAGTGGTCTCCATCATCAGATAACACCATTTCCACCGTGTATGAGAGTAAGTTTACCTGTTGAATCTTGTGGCCTTCTAACGTAGGTGTTAAAATTGTTGTGAAGCAGAGTGGACGCGTCTAACCTGTTGATCTGCGTTGACTACAATTATTTGTATCGCGCTCGATCAAATGAGTTGCAAGAATTGAAAGATTCAGTTTTCTCAACCCTCCCTAAAACCTTTACCTCTCCCCCTCCCGTCCTCTCCCCTCCC